TCTGAGAGCCTGGCTGGTGCTCTTCCTACGCCTCTATAGGTCTCTGTCTCTCTCATTTTCCTTCAAAAGCTGGCCTGTATTTCTCTTCTACCTTCCAGCTCCTCCCACAGAGGAGGAAGACAATAAATATTTGTTGAACTGAAAGCAGAGATTGCCTGGCCTCCCAGATCCTTCCTCCTTTTCCGTCCTCTCTCATTGCTCCAGGAAATCCATTCTCTTCCCATTCCTCATTCACCATGGGGTCCTCCTTCTCCTTATTTAGGGCCCTCAGTGTTTCCTCTCCCTCCCCTCCCCTCCCCACCCAAACTCCTTTTCTTCCACCATTAGCATGCCTCACCTTCTAGACGCCATCCTCTCTGGGAGTCATGAGTCTCGATTTCCTGGGTTTCTGGGACACCTGGAAGCTTGGGAAGGCTGGGACACAACAACTCCAACCAGATTCCTGTCAGCTGAGTAGGAGCCCAGGTGGGCGTTGTTCCTGGAGCTGGGGGTGGAGAGAGTAAAGGACTGAGAGGATGGGAGCGGGGCAGGGAGTGCAGCCAAGCAGGGTGACTCACTGGCCTAGATCAAGAGGCCCGGCCCGCGGCAGAACAGAGCTGCCAGTGGTCTCTCCGTCTTCACACTCGCTGCTCTGCTGGGGTCCAGAGTGACAGTGTGAGCGACATGGATCTCAGTTGAGGGCTGAGAGGGCAGCGTGCCCCAGTGGGGAAGAGGAGTCACCTCCACTGGAGAAGAAAGAGAAAGTGGAGTGGCAGTGGGGTCCATGTGACTTAAGTCCTGAGACAGGAAGGGAGCGGCTGAGGCAGACGGAGTTCCCGCATCCCAAGGAGGGCAGAGGGGATCGTGCCTGTCCCTGTAGGAGCCCCACCCCCACCCCCACCCCAGGCCACCTCTCGGAGCCTCTGCTGGCTGCAAAGGAATTCACCCCTACCCTAGCACTTAACCCATTCCTTCCTATCAGGATGGTGCTGTCTGGTCCTGAATTTAGAGCTGTTGAAAGTCCAAGTCTGGAATCAGCAGAAATGTATTACATTGACCAGAAAGGGGCTGAATCACCCTTGGTCCAGCATCTGGCCCCTGATCTGCAGCCAATGGCAGGAATGGAGGTCCTCAGATGCTTCATGGATGGGAATTGCAGGGAGGGAGGCCCTCGGATGCGGTGAGTCCTCGAGTCTTCTGCTGTGCTCCAAATTAAAAGCTTGTGTAAAACTCATGCATGTCATCCAAAAAGGCCTCTGGGCTCCTCCCACTGCCAGTTCTGGAGAGAAGCTCTTCGCTCCTCCAGTGGTTAAGCCAGCAGGGGCTGGGGAGGAGGACACAGCAGTAGAATCAGCCAACAGCTCATGTTTAGACCTCGGACAGCCAGGGAAGCCTACTCCTGAGGCCTCTGGGAAGCCATGGAGAGAACATAGGCATTGTATTTTTATAATAAAAATAAAACATATTTAAAAGTCAACAAACAGTTAATGAGTCTCTACATTCCCCACCCAGCTTCAACAAGGATCAAGTCCTGGCCATTCGACAGCAGCATTTAAAGGCCCTGCTCTACTGTTACTGGGAAATAGCCACTTTCTCCCAGTGTTTCTTACACTATGTGGCACATCTGACCACCTGTGGCAGGCAGAATGATGTCTCCAACCCCAACACCATCAAAGATGTCCACATCCTAATACCTGGAATGTGGGAATTAGGTTACATGGCAAAGGGAAATTAAGATTCCAGATGGGATTAAGGTTGCTAGTCAGCTGACCTTAAAGACATTATCATGGATTATCTAGGTGGGTCCAGTGTAGTCACCAGGTCCCTTGGTGTGGACATGGGAGGCAGAAGAGGAGGTCTGAGTGATACAGTGTAAGAACTGGCTGATTTTGGCTTTAGAGATGGAGGAAGGGGACCATGAGCCAAAGAACACAAGTGACCTCTAGAAGGTGAAAAAGGGGGGAAAGGGATTCTCCCCTAAAGCCCCCAGAAAGAATCACAGCCCTGCTGAGACCTTTATTTTAATCCACTGAGACCTGTTTTGGACCTCTGATCTCCAAAACTGTAAAGTCATAAATCCATGTTGTTGTAAGCCATTCGGTTCATGGTAATTTGTCGCTGCAGCTGCAGGAATTAGCCAGCTTCTCATAAGGATGACATCCAGGCCCATTTCCCTAGCTAGATCCAGGGTCCCATCTAGGAGCAGCTCCTCAGATGGGGCCACTTCCGCACCCCAGAACCTCCTGCAGGTTGGGGCCAAGGTGAAGGAGATATGAGGATGCATGAGAAAGGGGTGCTGGGAGGGAACAATCCAGATCCCAAAGAGAAACCAGTGTTTCTGTTGCTGAGAGGCAATTAACAGAGTGGGACCCCAGGGTGGAGGTCCTTGTGTGTGGGGAAGCAGGGCTGGGGAGGCTGGCAACCAGGGATGAGCTGTGAGCCAGGACACCTAGGCCAAGGAGGGGCAGGGAGGTCAAGGAAAGGAGCCAGGGCGGGGGACACCCAGCTTCCTCTGGGACACTCATTCAAGTGGCACCTGTTGCCACAGACCGCATTAGGAATGAGGGTGGAATGTGGAGGTTTATTGTCTCCACAACCACTAGCCCAGCCTGTTTCTGCCGTCCCCCACCCCACTACCAGGATAAAGGGCTGGCTGTCTTGGGGCTGAGGGAGGTTCGGGTGCTGAGCAGGATGCGGGGCCGCGTGGCAGGGAGCTGCGCTCCCCTGGGCCTGCTTCTGGTCTGTCTCCATCTCCCAGGTACGGAGGCCGTGATGCCCTTGGGCAGGAGAGACTGGAGGTCCCCCAGGAAACAGGAATTAAGGAAAGGGGTAAAGGCAGGAGGGTACACATTTAGGTCCCTGAGGGAAAAGGAAGAATAGGCTCAGGGGAAGCAAAGGGAACCGGAATCGGGGAAGGGAAACCATTGGCTGCTTTATCTTCCCTTTCCCTCAGGCCTCTTTGCCCGGAGCATTGGTGCTGTGGAGGAGAAAGTTTCCCAAAACCTGGGGACCAACTTGCCTCAGCTTGGACAACCTTCCCTGACTGGCCCCCCTAACTCTGAACATCCTCAGCCCGCTCTGGACCCGAGGTCTAACGATTTGGCAAGGGCTCCTCTGAAGCTCAGCGTGCCCCCATCAGACGACTTCCCACCTGCAGGAGGCTCTGCAGTGCAGAGGTGGCCTCCGTCCGGGAGGCTGCCTGCCGTGTACTCCTGGCCCCCTGAGGATCCTTGGCTGATGATGGCTGCTGCGGCTGCGGACCGCCTGGGGGAAGCGCTGCCCGAAGAACTCTCTTACCTCTCCAGTGCTGCGGCCCTCACTCCAGACAGTGGCCCTTTGCCTGGGGAGTCTTCTCCTGATGCCACAGACCTCTCACCCGAGGCTTCACACCTCCACCAGGACTCGGAGTCCAGACGACTGCCCCGTTCTAATCCACTGGGGCCCGGGGGAAAAATCCTTTCCCAGCGCCCTCCGTGGTCTCTCATCCACAGGGTTCTGCCCGATCACCCCTGGGGGACCCTGAATCCCAGTGTGTCCTGGGGAGGTGGAGGCCCTGGGACTGGTTGGGGAACGAGGCCCATGCCACACCCTGGGGGAATCTGGGGTATCAATAATCAACCCCCAGGTACCAGCTGGGGAAATATTAATCGGTATCCAGGAGGCAGCTGGGGGAATATTAATCGGTATCCAGGAGGCAGCTGGGGGAATATTAATCGGTATCCAGGAGGCAGCTGGGGGAATATTCATCTATACCCAGGTATCAATAACCCATTTCCTCCCGGAGTTCTCCGCCCTCCTGGCTCTTCTTGGAACATCCCAGCTGGCTTCCCTAATCCTCCAAGCCCTGGGTTGCAGTGGGGCTAGAGTACATAGAGGGAAACCCAACATTGGGAGTTAGAGTCCTGCTCCCGCCCCTTGCTGTGTGGGCTCAATCCAGGCCCTGTCAGCATGTTTCCAGCCCTATCCCCACTTTTCAATGCCTCCCTTGCTCATCTCCAATAAAATAAAAGCATTTATGGAATTTGCTTCTTCTTGGTGTCTTTGTTTCTGGGCATAAGCTGAAGTGAGTCTGTTCACTCCTGTTTTCTAACCATCTCCACGGCCCTCTAGGGGCCCATGCAGACGCTCTCTTGCTATACCCATCCTTTGCAAAGGATCAACACCCAAGTGCTTGAGGGCGGAGCCTCACCCTAGCCAGGTGGGAGAGTCTCACCCCAGCCAGGTGGGAGAGCTGTTCCAGAATTGTGCTGGAATCTGAAAGGGGGAGGAGGGACAGCAGGACTAATTGAGACGGCACCTGCAGCAGGGGGAAGGCAGCTCCAGGGCCAGGTGGACAGCATTCCTCACAATTCACAGAAATAGGAAGCCAAACGTCACAAAGTCTATGCTTCACTTGTCTTTTCTTCCCCGGAAAGTCAAGCTTCTTGGAAGTGGAGGATACATTGATCTCCTCCCTTACATGCATCACTTGGCACATTGTGTCCCAGAGAACCACAGACTTTGAACATTTGCTGAGTAAACAGCAGACCTCGATAAAGGAAAAGAGAAAAGGGAGAAAGGAAAGGGAGAAAAAACCTTGGAGCCAACAGTCCCATCTGGGGTGGCATTTGATGCTTTCATCCCCAAGCGATGACGCAGTCTCAGCCTTTGGTCACTGTATTGTCTCTCCTGCCCTCCCTTTGGTCTTCCCAGGAGCTCAGCATCCTCACATAGGAGTTGGAGTGAGGGCAGCCAAGGGTCAGGCTACAAAAGCACAGAAGAATTAGCAGGTGCGATTGGAGGTGATTTGGTTCTGGATTCGCTCTCCCCTGTGCCGCGCCTGCAGTGGTCCAGGTGTATGTACTCTCTATTCAGCCAGGTCCCTGGGAATTGAGCAGCTTGTGGGAGGGGAGAAAGGCATAGGAAAAACACCAGAACTCAAGGGATAGGGAGCTGCCTGCCTGCCTGAGTGGGAGAGGGGCGTTTCCAGAGAAGATGCCCAGTCCCAGTGTCTGCCATAAGGCTCCATCCTACACTGAGAAGTCCTTCCTGGAACACCTTCCGCAGAGCCCACCTTCCGCAGAGCCCAACTTCCGCATCACCAAGCACACGCCCTTCTTCATCACCTCAACCTCTTCACCTGATTCTTTTCCCATCTCGGACTCTCTTGGTTTCTCCCTGCCCTAGGGTGAGGGGTTCCGTGCCTGTTTTCAGCACCTGCCTCTTCCACCAGCCCAAGGTCATTCTCTCAAGCCTGGAGTCTCACTTCTCTCTGTCCCTCCTCCTGGTTGCCTCTTCTCCATAGTCATTCCTATTCACACATTTAAATTTGGGGTCAACAGTCCCCTGGTCTGTTCCCCAGACTCACTAGAGCATAAGCACCACGAGGACAGGGGCTTTGTCTCTTTAACTCATTGCTGCACCCCCCAACACCAAGAACAGGGTCTGGACCAGGGCAGGCACTCAGCAGGCACTGAGGAATGCTTGATCCTCTCTCTCTGTCCCTGCCCCTCTCTTATCCTCTCTCTACTTCCACTCAATTCCTGAGCCACACGGCTACACCCGGAGTCTAATCTGCACTCGTGTTGTGGCCCTCCCAGAGCCTCACTGACATTTTTCACCAACCTCATGAAGTCCTTCTCAGCATTAAAATGCTCTGTGCGTTTTATCGTTTAACGTTCATTACTCTCCGTGAGAAGGTATTATAAGATTTTTGTGGCCGGGCATGGTGGCTCACACCTGTAATCCCAGCACTTTGGGAGGTCGAGGCAGGCAGATCACCTGAGGAGTTTGAGACCAGCCTAGTCCAACACAGGGAACATGGTAAAACCTCATCTCTACTAAAAATACAAAAATTAGCCAGACGTGGTGCCAGGTGCCTGTAGTCCCAGCTATTTGGGAGGCTGAGGCAGGAGAATCGCTTGAACCCAGGGGTTGGAGGTCGTAGTGAGCCGAGATCGTGCCACTGCACTCCAGCCTGGGTGACAGAGTGAGGCTGTCTCAAAAAAAAAAAAAAAAAAAAAGATTTTTGCAGATGGAGGAACTGAGATTTAGAGGGATTAAGCAACTCACACAGGGTTACAAGTGACAGAGGCGGTGACTCCAACCTCATTTTTTCTCATTATCTGTCCAGGGAGTATTCAAGTACAACATGCAATTAACAGAAATAACAACAAACTTTTATTATATTTACGTATAGGCCAGGTCCCGGACAAGGCGCTTCCACACACACCCTTCCAGCAAATCCTCACAACCACCCCATTGGGTGGGCACTGCTAGGCCCACTGCACAGGGAGGACATTGAGGCGCAGAGAGGATGGGGAGCCGAGGCTCACACACAGGCAGCACTGAACCAGGGCAGTGAAGTCCATCTGACGCTTGGTGCTGGTGGCTCAGGGAAGATGGGCTGCAACAGTGGAGAGTCCCGGAGGGATGTGGCCAGTCCCCTCAGGGTGGTCTTCGGCTTAAGGTTAGTTGTTGCTTAAAAAGTGGTGGAGCTGGGCATGGTGGCTCACGTCTGTAATTTCAGCACTTTGGGAGGCTGAGGCAGGAGGATTCCTCGAGCCCAGGAGCTCTAGAGCAGCCTGGGCAACATAGGGAGACCTCATCTCTACAAATAGTAATTTAAAAATTAGCTTGTGTACTTAAAAAAACAAATTAAGAGTAGGCCAGGTATGGTGGCTCACACCTGTAATCCCAGTACTTTGGGAGGCCAAGGCAGGCGGAGACCAGCCTGGTCAATGCGGTGAAACCCCATCTCTACTAAAAATACAAAAATTAGCCAGGCATGGTGCTGCATGCCTGTAATTCCAGCTAGAGGAGAGGTTGAGGCATGAGAATTGCTTGAACCTGGGAGATGGAGGTTGCCATGAGCCAAGATTGTGCCACTGCACTCCAGCCTGGGCAACAGGGTGAGACTCTGTCTCAAAAAA